TAAAGTACAATATGTACCTCTGAGATGTAGTACAGTATGAAGTACAATATGTACCTCTGAGATGTAGTACAGTAAAAAGTACAATATTTACCTCTGAGATGTAGTACAGTAAAAAGTACAATATGTAACTCTGAGATGTAGTACAGTAAAAAGTACAATATGTACCTCTGAGATGTAGTACAGTATGAAGTACAATATGTACCTCTGAGATGTAGTACAGTATAAAGTACAATATTTACCTCTGAGATGTAGTACAGTATGAAGTACAATACGTACCTCTGAGATGTAGTAGAGTAAAAAGTACATGTACCTCTGAGATGTAGTACAGTAAAAAGTACAATATGTACCTCTGAGGTGTAGTGAAGTAAAAAGGTACAATATGTACCTCTAAGATGTAGTGAAGTAAAAAAGTACAATATGTACCTCTGAGGTGGAGGAAAAGTATAAATGTAAATACTCATGTAAAAGTAAATTAAATTTGTGTTTAAGTACAACCCTTAGTAAACTTCTACCAGCAGCTGATCAGCTTCATGTAAAGAAACTGAGCTGCAGTCACTCTGGTTATTATCCTTCATTGTCTGCTGCATGACGACTACAGAATAATTTCTTTATCTTCCTTGTGTGTGTGTGTGTGTGTCCTGTCACGCCACTCTGAGCCTGACAGACAAATTCAAACTCCTCCGTGTGGTTGTTCGATGCTCAGTGAGTGTGACTACGTGGTATAAAGAGCTAAAAAAACAAAAAAACACAAAACTAACAAAACCCACAAAGCTAAACTGTAGCGTCGTTGTCACGGTTCAACAAATATTTGCAAATGAGTTGATAAAAGCAAACAAAGAATTGCTTTGACAGGAGACACACATCCAGAGAAGGTATCAATAAGCCAAGAAAAGAAAAAGATAAATAATAACTTATTTATTTGAGGTGTGACTCATAATTACAAAAGTCCTGGTCAATCAGGAATATTATTAATTACTATTATCATAAGTCATTTATTAATTAATACCGACTGCGTGGACTAGAGAAGCCTAAATCTCCTTTACAATCACTTGACACACAAAGGAAACGTTCTCAAAGACAACCATGAAAATGTAACAATACTTTTGTGTTTCTTTGTCTCATTTCAACCTTTTCAAGTTAGTAAACCATCAAAACTTCTAAATGTTATACTTTTACTTTGTTATAGTGATTTATAGTGTTTTTTCTTCTTCATACATTTATATCATCGTAAAAACATCTCATTCAAACTACTGGATTTATTCTAGTTTATCACAAACTACATTTTACAGATTACTTGTGAACACACCACGATAACGTTATAATTTACCTTCAGCCAGTACTCATGTTCACTGAGCAGAGCCTGAAGGCATCATAATGTAACCGAAGTGAACCTCCGTTGGTTAGCCGTTAGCGGTGCTGCTAACGTTACCAGCTCTCCTCCTGTTGGTTAGCCGTTAGCGGTGCTGCTAACGTTACTAGCTCTCCTCCTGTTGGTTTAAACACTGATTGGTTGTTTACAAAGAAACATTATCAGAGATCAGAAACACATGTTCTACTGAATATTGGAGGAGAACCATCGTTAGTAAAACTTTATTTACACTCTGATTAACGTTACACTGTGGAATTAATCCAAGGTTCACATGCGGGCCGAAAAGCAAAGAGGGGATCCTTTACACCACTACTTGTTACTGAGGAAAGTAATAATATTACAGCCGCAACAACTACTTTTTAGCCGGTATTGTTCCACCTTTTGATTCTCTCTATCTGCGTGTCAACAACCACAGACGAGGGTTTGATTACTGTCTGTTGACGGATTTTGTCAACACGATAACGTTGCAAGCGCTCAAGATTCATCCACGAAACGTAACAAATGCGTAGTTGAGATCGAAATGAAGGCCGAGTTCGAGGATGGGTGTGGTTTCGAGCGAGGGGAACGGACATAGCGGGGCAGGAAGGACGCCTCTTGGTCCCGATTGGGTGTCGCGGCTGGTGTGATCCCGTTAATTTCAGTCGGACCGAAAGTCGAGTGACTCTTCTCCACTTGTCTCTCTTTGCTGTGATTGTCTTTAGAGATGCAGTCTCCCCTCCTGTGTTTCGGGGTGGGCGTGGTCTTGTTCTCTTTGGCTCCCTCCACCCTGACGTTCTCCCGCGGTGCCGGCCACGCCTCGTGTCGGGACATGATTCCCGGCCACATCCGCGCTCAACCACGGGATCCGAAGCGGGTCCATGTCGCTCTGCGCACATCCGCCTCTTCTTACCTACCTGGACAGTTTGTAACAGGTACAAAAATGTAACTACTGGTTAGTTAACGAACCAGTTATCGACCAGCTACTGTGATGGTTTTTAACTAGCGGTAAATTGTAAGTTAATTCTATTCGTTGGCACAGTTGATTACGACTACTAATCTCCTGTGTCCTCAGTGACGGTCCAAAGCTCTCGGGACTTCATGGGTTTCCTGCTCCAGGCTCGCAGTTTGGAGGGTCCCGGAGTCGGAGCCAGAACCGGAGCCAGGTCTACGGGCGTGGCCCCGCAGCTGGTGGGCGGCTCCTGGACCCTCACACCGCCCGGCACCCACACCCTGCGCTGCCTCTCGGAGGATGACACCCTCACGCACTCGGACAAACAGCTGAAGAGAAACCTGTCGTTTGTGTGGAGGGCCCCCGAGGGCCCCATGGGAGACATAAGGTTCTAGTGAGTACGAGTCGAGGTTTGTAAAGCTTAGGGTTTGTTCTTTACAATCAGAACTGCTTTCATAACTTGCAGTCAAATATTTATGCAATTTAAATACTGGTGAAGGCACAATGTTTGGTTAATTATTTTCATAACTTTTTGCATAATTGCATCATTGTATATTCAGCTACCTCTTTTGTCATTCCAGCATCACAGTGGTGCAGTCTTACTTTGTATACTGGGCAGGTATCGAGTCTGCAGTGGTGCTTGATGGGAGTCGTCGTCCTTGGACTAGGAGTAACATCAGCGTGGTGGATGGAGGGAACTCTGCACTACAGGAAGATGAAGTTACCGCTCTGCCAGGTATGCAACCTGTACAATGCTGAATGTTTGTGCCCCTTTGTTTACCTTCAGTTTGAAGAAGTTGTCTTAATTTAATATAATTATTTATGTCATAAGTCATGAAATGCAACTGGAGGCCAAGGTAAAACACGGACTAGGCCTCCTGCAATGACCGTCTTTCTGTGTCTTTATCCACCATAAGCCCATAAAGCATCAAACAAACAAACGAAGCAGACAGCCAGCCATGCTATTACCCTCGGACCAGTATCTCGTCCAGTCTCGGAGACAAACCACTTGACCAACCAGGTGGGCAATGAAAGAAAGAACAGAGCTATTATTTTGGGATCTAATCAAAATACTACCAAAGGCAGTGAGAATGAAACCTATAGAACTTCAGGATCCGTCTCAGGTGAGGCTGAAGAGGCAGGAACGGACACAGGAAGCTCCAAGGACCCCAAAAGCTCTCTTCAGTTGACCAACCATGTTCCTACCACCACAGCTATACCTTCAACCAAGCACGGCTTCCACGATGCAAATCTCTCAAGATCCACATCTCAGAATCCAAGAGAGACAATTCAGGACCAAACTAGATCAGTAAAGTTTGTGACCCAGAGTAGCTCATCGCAGCCCTGGAGGACTAGCGAGTCCCACACGAGTTTAATCAAGGATGAAAAGGGTCGCCAGTCCGTGCCTCGGACCCAGAATCTTCACCTCAAACCTTCTCTCCACTCGCAAACTTCTTCAACCAAACCTCTTCTTCACTCTCAAACTGGTCCAAGCCATATCTTTCCGTTCTTCCAAGAACCTTCATCTATGTCCCGAACCTCTTTATCATTCATTCTCCCATCCAAGACCCCTACCCTTCAGTCCTTCGTCAAGACCCAGACAACTCCACCCCTCAGTCAGGCCTATTCTCTATCCATCCATGTCTTTCCCATCAAACCCATGAACAGTTTACCTCAGCCTGAAAATAGTCCATCTGGACCCAAAACTCGATCAAGGAAAACCAGTCCACATCAGCTTCGGTTTCAAACAGCTGCACCTCTAAGCAGTCCTCCTCAACCTCAACCTTTGAGCAATTTTACCCAAGTCTTGCCCCAAACTATCCCAACTCAAACTCGGAGTCAAGCTAGCCATCCACAGACAGACCAGTCCAAATCTAGAACACCAGCTGAGGCTTTGAGTATCTCCCCCCTACCATGGTCCCAGCAACATTCCCAAACCTCTGCCCCCCAGACACTTACCCTTGGGTGGAAGCAAACTCAATCTTCAGCAACTCCTCGATCCATCAACCCTCCACCCTTCCCTTCAAGGTTCACACTGGGTGAGGGTAAAGAGGTCAAAGATCCTCCGTCTCAAGCGAAGCTCAAAACCATGAGCCTGATCTTTGCATCCATTCCCTCAACCACCCCTTCAGTGTCTACCCCCTTTTCTTCCACCCATACTATGCTTGCCTCTTCCCTTGTTCCCCCCTCCACTCCTCTTTATCCCTCCAGAGGTTCAGCCCCGCTATCCGTATGGACGTCTTTGTCATCTTCTCCCTCTTCCTCCTCCATGAAGAACCAACCCAAAACAGCTCCAGCCCTTTTTGCTCTCCTGTCTCCTTCCCCGATCTCCATTCCTCCTCATTTGCTCCTCGTCCACCCTTCCTCTACTTCCCCTTTGCCATCCTCCTTAACCTCTTCTACCAAACCTCCCTCAAACTCCTCCAACTATCCATCATTAGCTCCCTTGATTGCCTCAGTCCCATTATCTACTTCTTCCTCGTCTCCTTTCACCTCCTCTGAATCCATCACAGGTTCAACCGTTTCCCCGACCTCTTTTCCCACCATCTCTCCAGCCCTCTCCTCCTCAAGTGCCTCTTCTACCTCTTCCATTTCTTCTCCTCCTTCACCTCATTCGTTTTCCTCATCCATCTCTACTGCTACTCCAACGTCCTCCTCAAACTTGTCTGCCACCTCTTCTTTTTTGCCGTCATCCCAGACTACCTCCCCTCACCCAGAACCCTCTCCAGCTCCCCGGCGCTCTCTCTACGACCCTCTCACATCTTCCACCCCTATACCTTCCAAGCAACTTACCCTAGGTCAGAGGTTGCCAATCCAGAACCACATTGAATCATCTGATACTGAGCCCAACCTCAAACTACAAACACCAAGAACAGTGGTTCACCCAAACCCTGAACGCCATCCAAACCTCGACCCGAACTTCGACTTAAATTTTGGCCACATGTTGAAACCAAACATTCCCAAAACCGACACTAAACCCAAACCTCCCTCCAAACCCCCCGATACTCCAGACAAGGAGGGGAAGTATCCAGACATTAACGCCAGACACAGTGCGTGGGAGCTGGGCATGCTGCTGGGCTGCTCGGCGGGCTTGGGCATGGTGCTGGTGGTCGGGGTGAGGTACATGTGCCGCCAGGCCTGCGGCAAACAAACAGAGGTGACGCTGAACGACAGGGAGACGGAGTACGGGAGAGGCGAGAGAGGGCTGCTCCACGTCCAGGAGTGTGGAGATCTGGTCCGAGTCCGGAGAATCAGAGAGAACAGTTTTGTGCTCCTGGCAGAGTACGATGTTCTGCCCTCACCTGGAGACTGAAGGCTGCCTACAGAGATAGTTTAAGGTACTAAAATATTTCATAAGGGCAGAAATAATCCCACTGGGTAAGATGCCCTGAGCAACATTAGATTAAACTAAAGTAGTGTAGCATTCTGTTACTAACTGAAAAATACCAATTTATCTTGATTAATGGTAGCTAGATAGCCTAGCATGAATTTCCCATTAGCTTCTAAACCAAGATAGCTTACAGCATTCTAAAAACATGAAACTAATGGTCAAACATGAGTGAAACAAGGTTTCACAAAACACCTTATTCTTACCTCCAATAACATTGGGGATAATGATGTTTGTCAGTCCTTCTGTCGTCGTGGTCCAGAACAAGATGAATAGCTTTGGGCCAGATTGCCCATTGTTTAGCATGAAGTTAAAATGTTTGATGGCTAACAACATATCTCAAGAATTACTTGGCAGATCAGGAAATTAGCCATGGATATTCATGATCCTCAGAGGATGAATCATAGTGAGTATTTAGGCTAAGCTTTCGTCTCGCACCCCCATTCATGCTCTCTGGGAGATGAACCCTTTTCCGATTTAGACTTTTCGACTTTTAGAGTTTTTGACTGAGGCCAAAATATGAACTTTGGGACATCATTTGAGACTTTTAGCTGCACCACCGATGCTCTAAATGAAAAATGACTAACATGAAGTTTGTGTAATGGCAAAAATATGTTTTTTAACACAGACACTGTTTAAGGACAGCAGTCTCTCTTGATTTAGTAGTTAATCATTAAGTTTTGAACCTGATGCACTGTTTGTTTTGTGGGATGTGTTATGATCCTCACCCGAGGACGAAAGATGAACGTCCTGATTGAAACCAAATAACGAGCAGATCAATACAGCCTGCGCAGAGAAACTTGTTCTCTCCTATGTATGAGTTACGAAATGGGAGTGAGCCTCTTCTCCTTTAAAATGTGTGTTTCTGATACTTGGTTGAGACAGCCTCTCTACTGTACACTGAAATATGTGTCTGTTGAGACGCTCTCCTGCTTGCAAGCATTATTAAATGACGAAAACGTTGATTCTCTCAAGACTCTGTTTATTGACATAGATAGAAAAAACTTTGACTCTTCTCCCGATTGATCATAGAAATCTTCCATAACATTTGTTCCACCCACTTCCATACTGTGGAGTGTATAACTGTACCCTCAAGGGGCCATTAGCAAGTTCGCAGGAGTTTTGATCTTGTTTTTTCAAAATAGCTAACTCGTGCTCAAGAAAATGTTCTTGGCTTAGTGTTGTGTCCTCTAGAGTTTTTCTGCCTCCAACATGTTTAGAGAATTAAAGCAACAATCTGCTTCCTGATAGAAAGGATATTTAAAGACAAGGCTAGGATGACATACACCATTCAGTGGACACTTTTTTGTTTGATGAATAGAAAGCGTTGGTGATGCAAAGGCTGTAAATCCAGCTCTGTAGTTGTGAAATTGGATAAAGTATTTGTAAAAAAGCAGGATTTACCTGCATAATAAAGTATATTTTCAGTATTATACATCGTGTATTTCTTGATTTTGGCTGTTGTATCGTGAGGGTTTTATGGACAGTAGTCCTGGTTGCTGAGTCATTTCATAACACTTTTTGTGTGTTAGAAGGCCTCTCGGGTCTGTTGGCAGGACTTTTACAGTATTATTTTATTATTACTTCATCCAATCGAGGTGACAGAAGAGCCATCTGTCCAAAAACCATGGGTCAGTGAAACTAATGAGTTGCAAATAATTCCCAGAATGTTTTCCCTCCTCATTTGATTAGACAAAACTGGCCTGATACCAGCACGAAGACACAAAACAAAGCATGATTTAAAACTTCACCATCCAGTACATATAATATTGATATGAGCTACAAAAACACTCCTTATAAATACAGATACATAGGATGAGTCCAGAAAAAACAAGTTTTTTTTTTTTTTAAAGTTCATAGGTTTATTTCTGAATCCTTTTTTTATGTAAACAAGTGGAAGAATACACCTTTACATACCCGGCTCAATATCTTTCTTTCCTAAATATACTTCTAGTAAAACAATCGATGAAACCTCGGCAGTAAAGTCAGAGATGACTTGAAAACGATTCGGATTTGATCTCCAGTCACAACAAACGTTTTCAGTCAACTTAACATTCTTATAACGGTGGTTTCCGGTGAAGGAATCTGTTCCAAGCGGGTTACCGAGGCTACGACGATACACTCGAGGCGTCTTTCATCATCTCATGTTCGATGACCCAATAGCCAGACAGAGCGATTGAATTTAGAGGATCTGCAAAACCCCCCTCTGAACAACCACGGCCAACGTTTTTTTTAAATAATTTGGTCGTGGTGCTACTATCCAGTAGACTGATTTAGCATGCTAATGCTAACAAGTGCTACAACAGAAACACAATCAGGTGTTCACAAACATATCAATCAGAAGGTCCCGCAGGAATCAGAATTGACATAAAAACACCAGAGGGTTGTAAGGCTTGGTAGTGACACCAGCAAACAAGTAACAGAAATACTGCCTAAGTGCCCCTTAGCAAAGCCCTTGTGTTGTACATTTTCCACAGGTTAATGTCCGTTTGGTCGCATCACAAAGCCGCTAACATTGACTAAAAATACTTGTATCCTTGTTTGAGTGGATGTCACATGTTGCAGCTCCAGTTCTGATTGGTTGTGATGATGATACATTCACTGTCATCTCTCTGAATGGGATAAATGGTTAGTGTCGAGTCCACCACTTTGGTCCAGACAGCTGTTGGGTGGATCGCCATGAGATTTGGTACAAACATTCATGGTGCCCAGATGATGAAGCCCAATTACTTTGGTGGTCCTCTGACTTTTCATCCAGCGCCATCATTTGGTCAAGACTTGTATTCAATACTTTGTTTTATTACATTCATACGAGCCTCAGCTGTACTTTGTGTATCGTGCTGATTAGCAAATGTTAGCATGCTAACTCAAAGATGGTGACCATGGTTATACCAGCTAAACATTAGCATGTTAGCATGGTCATTCTGAGATTTGGGTCGGTGTTCAATATGACAATGGAAAGTGACGTGATCCCCACCACATCACTCAGATAGAATACGGTATCATCTGCGTACAAACGTATGTGAAACAACGAGCGTAATATTTGAGAAAGAATCAGAAACTGACGTCATTCTTATTCTGTATATTAAACGCATTAGTTTGTTTCTATCAAATCATAAATGTAACACGTCCTCATTTTCTGGCAGTGACAGCTCGGACAAAGATAACTGTAGAAAAAAAGATAGAAAATAACAAAAGAAATAAAAACATAAAATAAAAGACTGGTCCCAGTAACTCCGCCCCTTCCTGTTCCTGCTGGGAGCGGCTGTTCAAACCAAACGTTCCATTTGTCTTTGAAAATACAAGCAGATATCCTCTTTTTTGCAGGTATTTCATATAAAAATATAAGTTATTATTTTCTTTTAAATATAAAAGAATGTTTATGATGGAAATATGAAATATAAGTTTTTTTGTTGTCATAGAAACTGAGAATATCGAGGCGGCAGGTGCACGGCGTTGCCCTCCGCCGCGCTGAGGTCTCTGTTGATTGTTTGTGATAAGGCACGTTTCACCGTATCCCTCCGCCGAGGTCAAAACTCATCTTCCTCAGATGGGCTGAAGAGTTGACAGCTTCATCGCCTGAACAGAGAGAAGAAGAGATGCAGAGAGTGAGACATTCAGATGGAACGATGAACCGGAGGGAGGGAGAAGGGGAGGGAGGAAGGAAGAGAGAAAGAGAGGGAGGGAGGAAGGAAGGAGGGAGGAAGAGAGAAAGCAAGAGAAGGAAGATAGGAAGGAAGAGAGGGCGAGAGGAAGGGAGAGAAGGAGGGAGGGAGGAAGAGGAAGAGATAAAGTTCCATTGTGTGGTAAACTGTGACGATTGTAAAGTGCAGTGAGTTAATCATCACCAAACACTAAATCATGTCGTGAGTCTTCAGAACAGAAACAAAGACGTCCCACCGAGTGAAACTACGACGACGTTCCTCCGGTCAATTATTTCACTTCCTGTTTCAGAATAAATAAATGATAAAAGGTTCTCGTCCTGTTCGATCAGAGTCAACAGCTTCATTTGACTGTTATCGTTTTCCAGTAAACAGTTATATCTTAAAGGCCATAAAATAACAAACACTATTTTATCTCACTGACTGCATGTTAGAGATAAATAGAGCTGAAACAAGAAGTCAACTATTCTACCAACCAACTAATACAACTACTTTCAGTCATATATCACAATGTTATCCTTGTTTAATCTGATTATTAGAACTGTTGACGTATTTGTTTGTCAATATGAAACTCATCGAAGGTTCAAACGTTTGACTCAACTGAAAGTTGAAGTTATTTTCAACAGATTTAAACTCCATGTTGTTCACATTAACAGTAATTATTTGGCATCATCATCATCATCATCATCACACCCACCACCACCAGACTTAAAGGAATACTTCACCCTGACATGAACATTTGTATTTAGATTACTCTCCGTGTTCCCTTTAATTCTTTCAGAAAACTTTACTTTCTCTCAGTTTGATGAAGTCTCACTGATCCAGTCGTTTACTTTACAAACACAAAACTCTTTCAAGATTCAAAACACCAGAATACAAGAGTCCCACATGTTTTAAATTGTACTTTTGTGAAGTAGTGAGCATACTTTGTTTTAAAGCAACGCTTTAACTCGAGTAATTGACGTACAAACGGTCATTTTGTGGGTGAAGTGTTGAATCACAGTGAAAGTGGTCCAGCAGAGGGAGACAACGTCTCACATATACGACAGCTCTGCTGAAGACAGAAGAACTACAGGCAGCTCTCCAAGGACACGTTTAGGCGTCTACTCACTCAGTAGTGTTGGAATGCGGCCCTATCGCAACAACACACTAGACTGTAGGAGAGGAGAAAAGGTAAGGAGGTTAGGGTTGGAATGCAGCCCGCTACCTCAGACCAGAGCAGAGTGCGAGTGTGTGTAGGTGTGTGTGTGTGTGTGTGTGTGTGTGTGTGTGTGTGTGTACCTTCTGCCGGCTGGTCATCCAGCTCCGGATGGTCGGCACGAGGACGGAGCCGAGGAGGATCTGAGACGGATGGTAGATCAGCAGAGGAACCGAGATCAGAGAGAGATGCTCATAGCCCTCAAACACTATCTTCAACATGGGGATACCTGGAGGGAGGGAGGAAGAGAGAGTGGGAGAGAGGGAGGGAGAGAGGGAGGGAGGAAGAGAGAGTGGGAGAGAGGGAGGGAGGAAGAGAAAGAGAGGGAGGGAGGAAGA